TCCTTGCTTTCTATTGTAAATCTTATCATGTGATATGTCTATAGCCCAGCATTAGGGTTGACTGACCTAGATGCTATTGGAAACATTGTCCAGTGAATCATGCAACAACACTCTTTGTCTGGGTAATAATCCTCCCTACTGTTCTCTGAAAACTGTAAATGCAATAAGGCAAGGCGGTATCTTTCATTCTGTGTGATTAATCAAAAATAGCATGTGGCCAGGATCTATATTAGTCACCTGAAGTGTAAAAATAGCACATAAATGACATTTGTTTTTTTTGTTTTTAATCTTAGTGTTTAGTGATAATGTAGTGTTGATACAAAGTTTTTAGTCAAGTGTCTGTGTGAAAATAGATCAAGTTTAGTTTAAGAGATTGGAAGATACCCTATAAGTGATTTGGCTCTAGATAATAATTTCTTTCCACCACAGACCACTAGTTTCCATTGCAGAAAAAACACTGTCGTAAAGTTTTCACGTCATTTCATGTCAAAATGGAACTGTATGCTTTTAAGAATGTCTTGCTTTAGGTATTAGAGGCACTTTAAAATTTGCAGGTCTAGATAGCAGAATATGCCTCTGTTTACACTAGGTTTGCATGGTTTACTGCCTGGTACAATGGTAGTATTGCGATACTATGGCTCCAAAATGCTAGCGGTGCCACTGTAGTTTGTAAATGGTATATCGTCATTAACGGTCTATCTACGATAGATAATGTTGGATGTGGAAATTCACTAAAACGCTCGCGTGTTTGTTTTAAAGCCCTTCAAGGTGCAAGTTTTCTGATGTTTTCTGACGTTTTAACTGCACATCTGAATCGGTTCATATCTGTTCCTTTCAATAGGATTTAGTAGCTACAATAACCGCAACAATCTCTTAAAAAGAACTACTTGCAGTGAAATTTTGAATTACTTTGGATTGTTACCTGATAAGACTGAAAAAACAATAGATGACAAACCCAAAATAGCAACAGGAAATATTGAAACAATTTTTGACCACTTCATAAAGCTTAATTTTGTTGGAAAAAATGCTCTTTTGTAACAAATTTTATTTGGTGTGGTTTGTATCTTTATTTTAATGTATTTTTTTGTTGGTCAGTTATCTACAAACAAAACAAAAATAATGAATTTTAGGTGACGTGACTTGCAAATAATACTTTTTTCAATAATAAGGGAATTATGAATTACATTTAAGACCTATTATAACATGTAAAACAGTAATTCTGACAATTTTCTTTATAATTTGAGTTATGATTTACAGTATTGCAATAATACTTGGTATCATGATTCTTCAGCTGGTATAGCAACATAAGATGAATTAATGGTATCGCGACAACCCTAGTATACACCTGCATTTTGGTCAATTGGATCACAAGTAGATGAAGGAAATACATTCATGTTGCCGGCCTGTCCACTTTTTCTGATTTCTTTATTGAAACAGTCTATCAGTGATTGTTTGTATGCCCCCTTTCTGATATTTCCATTTAATATTTCTAAATAATTGCTCTCAAAGATCACATAAGAAAATAAAAGTAGACAACAGTCCGAAATAGTAAGAGAACATTTTTCTTTTCCAATTTTTTTCTCTTTTAAACCAAACTTTTTCAAAAGGCATGATGTGAATCACATATGGCTATCACACTTAAACAACACGTCCTGTAACATATAAGAATTATGTAAGTAGGCAGACACCGTTTAGTGGCTATTGAACAAATCTGAGCAAATAAGTAAAGCATCTACAAAGCTGTTGCACATTCAACTACCCGTGCAAGTGCCCAAATAGTAGACTAAATGGAAAAGCTCAAACATTTTAGAACTCACTTTGTATTTAGCATTATTCACACTATAAAAATGCATCTGATTACCAAATAACCAAGGCCTACATTTCACTGCGGGAACTGTTTAATCCATTATATCCAAGATTCTAACCCTCAACTTGACGTAGTTTAGATTGTGGCTAGTGTTATATTGCTTGCCTCAGGATCTGTTTGTATTTAAGTTAAATTAGTTAGTTAGCCAGTGCTTTTTAGTGTACGTTAAAGGTTTTAGTAAGATGCCCAGTGCTAACAGTTTATACACAAATCAGGTCTCTTATTCTGGTTTGTGTAGACTCTGAATATGAAAAGCATTTGACTCATATATATTTTTACAATTCCAGTATTACAGTAATAGGTAGTGTTTTTTGACTCTGATAGAATTGCTAATGTCTACATTAGATGTTTTGCATCCTGTGATTTGTCATCACTAAATTTGAATTCATACTGTTGAACCAAATTCCTTGGTATTTAATTTTTTTGTCACCACACTATCTCGCTGAGATAGCAGACCTTTCCCAGGGGACAGCCTTTCAATCTTTCTGTCTCTCTCTGCCTGTCATGTTCTGTCTCTTTCTTCCCTTCCCCCCAATGGTTTGAATTCTTTCTCTTTCCCTTTTTCCACTCTTTTCTTAAACCCCCCACACCACAAACTCAATCTGACTCAACTACTCACGTTTTTTTACTTTCTCATAAGGTTTTCCTCTATCGTTCTTTTTGCTGAGACTCTCTCTGTTTCTTGTCTTTTGCCATTTCTCTCTTTCTTTCTCTCTTCCCCTCCCTCCTTTCTCTCTCTCTCTGCCCTCCCTCTCCTGTTCTCTTTATCTCCTCCCCTCTTTCCCTCTATTGCTCTCTCACCATTTGCTCTCTCACAATATCTCCCTCCCTCTCTCACTCCATCTCTCTCTCCTTACTGGCAAAGGCTTCCCTTCTCCTCCCTCATCCCTCCATTTTCTCTTCTTTCACAATCCTTCTCTCTCTCAGCCATTTTATATAGAGGTATATCTCCTATTTTTGCAATTCATTAAAAATCAATACTCAGTCAGTAATTGCAAATTTACGTAGGAATAAGGGATAATTATATCTCACAGATATAAAATATTTTTAATCACTTGTGAAAAATGAGGCTCGTTCGTGAAACACAAGCAGAATGAATTTCATTGTGGATGAATGCTTCATAAAACTCTTCACAATATAAATTGCAAAAATTCACACAGACTTTGCTCTTGTTGGATCTCATGAATACGAGTTGCAAAACAAAAGTTTTTCATGATTATTTATAAAAGTTTTGCAATGAGATTAAAACTGAATAATGCACACCGATTGGCCCTGAATATAGGTACGTTAACATGACTCTAAATATGGTTTCACCAATTTATTTTGTGCGTTCATTTACACAACAAAAGCATTTTTGGGGCCAGAAAATACTACATTTTAAGATCTTTCAGAAAACTACCAAAGTAGGATTTAGTGAATGCACATGATGTGCATGGCCAGCAAAATCTTTTGTATTTAATAGATGTCTAATAGACACCTAAACGTAGACAGCTTGCCTAAAACAAGGCTAAACTTGGGCTGTCAGTGAAAATCTAATAGACGTCTAAGAATAGGCCAAAACTAGACTAGTCGTCAAATAGACAGATCAGACAGACTTTATATGCGTAGTCATTCATTTCTGTTTATTTGATGACTAGTCTAATTTTGGTCTATTCTTAAACGTCTTATTAGATTTCTTACTGACAGCCCAAATTTAGCCTTGTTTTAGCCAAGACGACTATGTTTAGACGACTATTAAACATCTTTAAAAAACAAAAAATGCTTGCTGGGTGTGTATTGTGTTTTCAGATTATAGATATTCGCAAAACGAAAATGGTGGACTACAGGAATGATTATTTCCATAAAAGCCTGCAGGTGTGTCGTGTTACTTCACAAAGCATCATAACCATCTACTGGCCTGAAATTCATAGAACATTTTTAGTTGTGTTTGGAGATCGTGTGAACTGCAATGTTTATATATGGAAGTCAAAAACCCAAACTATTTTTTAGTAAATTTTTGTTTTTTTTCGTCAACATTTACCCTACAGCACACCCTCATATATCTTACCGCTTAATAATGTATGTACTATTGCTAGTCCATTGTGATATGAACCGAAATGGATGTCATCAAACATGATATTGTACAATGATGTTACATTGTGTCTGAAGGACTTTCATTCAAAAGGAGAAAATGCAAAGCAAGGGTTCAGATTTTTTAATACCGCTTATCAGAAGGAGGCAGATCTGAATGCAAGATAGCGGATGAATTTGTGCAGAAAGATTATTGGAGAAGTCTGACTAACAGTAAGTCACCAAAAGATTAAGTTACTGTTTGCAATAAGACCTATAACATGCAGTTAGGCAATAGATGAAATCCCTGCTTCCTTTGTTGTTTGTTAAAAAAAGTGAAGCGTAAATGCGTCATACAAACGCAACAGAATGGATATTCATAAGTGAGTCCATATATAGACGTCGTAGACGGACATCAGATAGCGTCTACTGAGCATTAAACAGAGCCATGCTGAACGCTCTTGTTTCTCAGCAGCACACAGGCCAAAAGGTCCTCGTCTGGCACAGACTCTCTCAGATGCATATGTGCTCTCGCATCCTCTGTTCTGTCAGACGGCTAGATAGACTGGTAAAGAGTTGCTTTCATAACTTCACCAGTTAGATCATTCCCCATCTGTTTGTTCTGTTCTTATTTTGATCTCCTATCAGGTGTATTTCATGTTTTTATGCATGTATTTCTCTCCATATACTTCTATTGCTGCTCCCTTCTGTGGCAAACACAGCTTCTCTTTGTGTGCTTGCTGTTTTTTTTACATGCATCCCTGTATCTTTATGGCTAATTTTTCACAGCGCGAGGTTTTGTGTTTTCAAACGCGTTTCACAAGTGCATGCAAGAGAGAATGTCTGAGTAACAGTTGAGAGAGTAAGAGGAAAGGATAGAGAGAATGAGCAAAAGAAAAAAAGAATGAAAAGAGGGGGAGGGAGAGAGAGAGAGAGAGAGAGAAAAAAGCAGTGTATGTGTGTGCTTGGTTGCGCCAAAGAGAGGGAGAGAAAGAGAGAGAGAAGTGGGGGAGGGGAAAGCAAAGAGAAAAAGAGTGTGTGTGAGAGAGAGAGAGAGAGAGAGAGAGAGAGAAAGAGAGCACACATACACAGAGAACAGAGAGAGAGAGAGAGAGAGAGTACGAGAAACAGAGGAGAGAGTGTCTGTTTTGGTCCAGAGAACATATAATGTATGAAAAGGGAGGGCAGCGTGTGAACTCAAACCCTTGACTCTGCTTCAGGATGAGATCTCTCAAACACCTGAAGCCACAGACCAAGAAAAATGTGGTGAGTTCCCCTTGCTACTTCTCCGATGCCCTCTGAGGGCTCGGTTTGTTTGTACATGTGATTGTAGTCACTAAACTAGATGGCCTAAGTGAGAGGTCTTACGAAATGGCTTGGCCTGTGTTTTTACATGTATTTGATTGCTTCGTCTTTTTAATTATAGCAATGTTTTATTTAAACAGTTTAGAAACTTGAGTCAATTTTGTCTTTCTTAAACTCTGATCCTTTAAGCCTTTTTTCAAATTTCCTATTTATCTCTCATTCGCTCTCTTTCTTGCTTTTCAGTCACTCACTCATCCAGCCACTCTCTGCCCCTCCCTCTCTTTTTTTCTTCTCTTTCTGTTAACTCTCTCGTTCTCCCCTGCTGTCTGTCTCTCTCTCTCTCTTTTTTTTTTCCTCAGACTCTTCCTGTCTTTTAAAAGCACTTAGACGTACAGTTGAAAATGCCTACCAGCACAATCCTCATTACATAATTACCTTTGTTTCAAGATTTGCATGATGCACAAGTGGAGATTAAATTTCCTTAGGGTGTAGATTCTTCAGTAAACCGTGTCACCTGTCTGAGGGAATGTTGGTTTTGTGTTGAGTGAGATGGAAACTAGATGGTGCTGACTGTGTTAGTGTGTTTTACAGACATGGTTTTTGTAAAAAAGAATTGTATTTGTCAACTTGTCGTTTCAAACCCTCACCCGCTTAATTAATTGGACCATGAGAAGTATTGACAATGACAATATAACATTGAAAGTGGAAGTTCAGTTAACAAAACGTCATACAGGTTTGGAATGAAATTTTAATTATTACAGAGTTTTTGTTTTTGAGAGCGAACTTGGACTTCTGCAAATGATGAAGTGTATTTTTTCGTAGTACCAAACAAAACTGCAATTGTTTTTTGTACATAATGTACATAATTAATCTAAACTACAGCATTTAAATTGAAACATTTAATTTCAGTTAGCATTTTTATAGCTTAACAATAAAACAAATGTATAAGAAATTCCATTAAATTTTAATTGTCTTCTCAGATGTGATGGTGGGCCAAATCAAAGGTTACCGTGGGCCAATATATATCAATATATACCACAATATGTATCTGATATACAGTAGATAATAGGGCTGCACGATTCAGGCTAAAATGTGAATCAAGATTTTTTTGCTTAAAATTAAAATCATGATTTTCTCACGATTCTGTAGATGTAAAATAAAGGATAATATGAGTAGGCTATTATTATTGTTAATTCTCAAACATATGGTAAAACATCAATAATAATATTAGACCTGTGTGTGTAGGTCGAAATTTTGTATAGTCATTATGGTGGACTTTAACAGACTTTCAATATGTCCTGTTGGTAATTTACAGTAAAATGATGACATCAGAATATAACTATTCATAATTATAAAGTTGAATTATTATGTTTGAGTTTTCATTGAATATTCATTGAAGTTTTCATTATTAGACCATTTTTGCAGCGTGGGAATTCTTGCATTATATTCAACATTATATTCTAACATTAAGATTGCGTGTAGGGTAGAATCATGATCTTTTTTCGATTAATCGTGCAGCCCTAGTAGATAATCACAAAATAGAATGTTTACATCTTGTATGTAGACTCTAATATTCCTGGCAGTGACCAAAGATGAGAGTAAATCACCTACTGAGTCTTTTTTTAGGTTGGTTTTTGATGCTGTGTTATTCACAAAAAAAAAAAAAATTCAATTACAACATAGTGTAAATGCATCTCAAACTACCAAACAATGATGTCATTTTCCATAAAGGAAAAAAGATTCTAACGTCAAGCTAAACCCGTAGTCATATTAATCTAACCTACTTGTGTTTGTGCTCTTCAGGAGGAGAAGACACAGCGGCTGGTCAGATGTTATTCTGAGGCCATGCACCAACAGATGGACGCAGGGACACAGACAGACCCTGTGGTGGTCCTGTCGCTGGCCCAAGCTGCTGTGTTGGGACTCATCTCCCAGAACGAGGTCTTTGGTGCCACAATCGCCCCCAACGGCTTCTACACGGGAGACCCCAAAGAGTCCCCTGCTCCGCCGGGTGAGAGAATGGACTACGAATACGCAGACCAACTTATAGGTGCCAACGGTGACTACCTTGGGGAAAATTTGGGCGAGGATGGCCACATGCACTCCAGCTGTGCTGAGAGAAGGTGGCAGGGGCAACCTGAAAACACCAAGCCTCCTGTAGGGCACCAAGACATGGCATTGCATGTTAAAGGAGAGTCTGTTACCCCAGGTTTGCCCTCCTGCACTCACATGATGAATAACATGGTGCCCAGAGAAGGCATGCAGATGGTGGACCCCACCAGCTACAGGGTCCTGCCCAAATCCCAGTCCAGCAACTGCAGCACCACCTGCGTTCGAGATCCCAAGAGTACGCTCTCTCCACCTGACCCACATTTACATTCGCATTCCCACGGACATAATCATGCACCTCATGAGGTGCCAACACGCAACAGGGGCCATACACATGAGAAAGGAGTAGATGAAGTGGCAGAGGACAGAGACAATGGAAGAAACGGCATGGTGAAAGCCGGAAATGGAGAAGAGCAAATTAGCAGCTATTTTCAGGCAAATGAGGTCGGTTACGAGGGTGGCGAGATGGAAGGGGTCGGGGACTTTGATGAAAACAACGATGGGATGTTTTGGACAGAGCCAGTGGAAGGGGAGGCACCCCGAGGCCGCAGAATCGACAGACTGGACATCAACATCCAGATCAACGAGTCTTACTGTGTGGATGTTGGCGAAGGCCTGAAACGATGGAAGTGCCGCATGTGTGAGAAGTCTTACACCTCTAAGTACAATCTAGTCACCCACATCCTTGGCCACAATGGCATTAAGCCACACGCTTGTCCACACTGCGGCAAACTCTTTAAGCAGCCCAGCCACCTACAGACGCACCTGCTGACACATCAAGGCACAAGGCCACACAAGTGCACTGTGTGCAAGAAGGGCTTCACCCAGACCAGTCACCTGAAGCGGCACATGCTGCAGCACACCGACGTCAAGCCCTACAGTTGCCGCTTTTGCCGCCGTGGTTTTGCTTACCCCAGTGAACTCCGTGCTCATGAAGTAAAGCATGAACGAGGTCGATGCCACGTCTGCTCGCAGTGTGGCATGGAGTTTCCCACCTATGCCCACCTAAAGCGTCACCAGGTGAGCCACCAAGGACCTTCCACCTTCCAGTGTAGCCAGTGCAACAAGTCGTTCGCTTACCGCAGCCAGCTGCAGAATCACCTGCTGAAGCACCAGACGCAACGCTCCTTCTCCTGCAGTCAGTGTGGCCTGCAGTTTCTTCAGCTGCATCAGCTACGCCAGCACTCCCTCACGCACAAGACAAACAAACCTCAGACCCGCGCTACCAAGGTACAGAGAGAATTATTACACGTTTGATCAACTCTTTTCTTGCTTTTGTTTGTTATCTTTATGTTATGCTATGGCGAGGTCACGTCTTACATAAGTAATGGTAGTATCACAGCTAATTTTACATTTGGTCAGCTATTGTTTTGATTATTGGCATTGGCTAATGATGGATAGTTCTGCCTATTTTGCAATTTAGATCAACATCTAGAACTAAATGGTAATGTAGAGCCAAACCTTTACAAGTTTTTTCGGTGTTGAACACAAAATATATATTTAATAGTTTTGTAAACTGGGAGCCGTTGATATGCATAGTAGGAAATAAATACTATGAAAGTCCATTGCTAAATTTTTCACAAATTTTTTTTTCACATAAAACATTTTTAACAATATCCTATTTTATTTTAAGGTACAATTCTCACTTTTAATAAAACACTAACTATGATTTTTGCTTTAAATTCTTAACTTACTGCTTATTAATAGTCATTAGGGTCGTGGTTTAAGTATTAGGTTGGAGTAGGGAATTAGGGATTAGGTTCATGCAGAATATGTAGTTTATAAGTACTAATAAACAGCCAATATCTTATACAGGGTGTCCGCGGGGTCTTAAAGTATTAAATGTTAATAAATCAATCTAGAGAAATATAAGGCTCTTAAAAAGTATTAAAAGGTATTTTGCTAGGTGATTAATTTTATATCATTTTTGATTATGCATTGTATTGTTGTATGCTAAAGTTTGCCTGAATTAAATCTGCGAATCTAATCTAATTAAATCTAATATCCGGATTCTGTGTAGTTTATGAAATCCTGCTAGCTTTGACATCATGCTGCTTTGTTTACTGCAGTAATCAAGGCAACACTGTTATTTCTGCAGTTCTATAGGCGTCAACCTGCTGAATTAGCTGGATTTTATAGATTTTTATGCAGTATATGAATAATGTTTTAGTTTTTGATGATAATTTTTTTTAATTAATATTTAGTAAATATACTGTAAGTTAAAATCTCTACAGTGTTTCCGGTTAAATCCTAAAGTGGTTATAAAGTCTTAATATGTATGGAAAGAGTCTTAAAAATGTCTTAAAAGGTTTTAAATTTCAGTTTGATTCCTGTATATAGTGAGAATTTGTACTTAAACTAAAGTGTTACTCTTATTTTCAACTGAAGAATGAAGCTCAAACAGGTTTGGAACAAGCTGAGGATCAGTGAATAATGATAATATTTTTATTTTTGAGCGAGATCAAGGTGAAAATACAATCCCACACTATTTAAAAACAGTAGTATATTAAATGAATAGTTTACTCAAAAAAGAAAATTAACTCACCCTCAAATGATTCTAAACCAGTGGTCTTAAACTCAAATCCTGGAGGGCCACAGCTCTGCATAGTTTAGTTCCAACCAGCTTTAACTCACCTGCTTAATAGTCTCTAGTATTCTTGAAGACCTTGATTAGTTGGATCAGCGTTGTTTAATTAGGATTGGACCAAAACTGTGCAGAGCTGCAGCCTTCCAGGAATTGAGTTTGAGCCCTTTAGTCTAAACGTTTATGAGATTCTTTAATCTGTTGGACACAAAAACAGATATTTTGTAGCAAGCTAAAACATGTAACCATTGACTTCAATAGTAGAAAAACAAACACTATTGAAGGCAATGATTACAGGTTTCCAGCTTTCTTCAGTATATCTTCTTTTGTGTTCAACAGAAGAAAGAAACTCTTAGAAGTTTGGAACCAGTTGAGGGTGATTAAATTTTTTATTTTTGGGTGAACTATCACTTTAAGCAAAAACATAAATAGTTCTTAGGTATGCTAATCAGTAACACGAATGATCTATCTATAATTTCAAATTATTTACAACTTGCTGTTTCTAACATGTTTTCACATTCCATTTCAATTGTTGTTCGTGCTTGTTTTCCTCTTAGGGAACAAAGGGGTTTAAGTGTGATGTATGTGCCAGAGAGTTTACATTGTCTGCAAACCTAAAGAGGCACATGCTGATCCACGCCAGTGTTCGGCCATTTCAGTGTCACGTGTGCTTCAAATCTTTCGTCCAGAAACAGACCCTCAAAACTCACATGATCGTACACCTGCCCGTGAAACCCTTCAAGTGCAAGGTTAGGCTTAGCACGTTCTTCACACCACCTCTTTGTGACAATTCCTCAGCGTCTTTCATAATGCTCTTTTGACTTCTTTTCCACACAGGTGTGTGGAAAGTCATTTAACCGAATGTACAACCTTCTGGGCCACATGCACCTCCATGCAGGCAGTAAACCCTTCAAGTGTGCGTACTGCTCGAGTAAATTTAACCTGAAGGGAAATCTCAGCAGACACATGAAGGTCAAACATGGAATGGATGTCTCTCCAGATGGACAAGGTGAGAGATTCCATCAGTATTTAGCAAACATTCTCTAACATCGCAGTTAAGGAAGTTTTCCAATATCAATTTCATTTTGATTTTTTGGTACAGATGGCCCAACAGACATGGAGCCCCATGAGGACTATGAAGACGAAAACTTTAATTTCACAGCACCAGAGAATATGGAAAATAATGATGCCCCAAATCTAACGAAGCTATCCGAAGTGGCCATCCAAGAACTTGACTATTACAACTTCGGGAAGGATGTGGGAAACTACAGTACAGCATAAAACAAAACAAGTCAAGCTGAGATAATGTTAAGTAATAAATGGCCTGCGCTGGCACCCATCAACCATGAGTTGATTGAGATGTTCCCCCATGAGAACCACTGCTCGCCTTTTTAAAGAGCAGGTTGTTGGAGGCCATCTTGACCTCCTGGGGTTGATCTCATGGAGTAGCCACTTCGGGATTGTCTCTTATGAAACAGACTAAAGGTTTGCAAAGAGTCATTTGACTCCACAAACATCAATGCTGTGTTTTTAGTACGTTGTGGATCACAAGGTTACATTTCTGCCCAATACATTAGCCTCATCATTATACAGGTGCATACACATGCAGTCTTGTGTAAAGCACACAGTCCTCCAAAAATAAGTTTGGTTGGGAATATGGAAATAGCAGGTGCATGCAGCCGTGTGGCCTTCATCGATGTGGTACTTCAGAGCAGTCTAATAACTTCTGTTATTTTGATTTATATTGCCTTCACTTACAGTAAGTCATAGAAACACCAAGAGACTCCTAATGTAAAAGAAAACAAAGGCCCATGTAAATGGTTGGATATCTGCATGAGTAGATAGGTTTGTGTGGGTAAAAAAATAAATAAATATACATATATAAATGAGTGATGTGTGCCTAGGCCCAGTGTACCAAAGCTACTGCACTTCGTCTGGTACAGGACCGTACGCTGGCCATTCCCAAACACCACTACCGTTGCCAGAACTAAACTTCATCTAGTTTGGTTTAACAGCTTCCGGGTGGAGAATTACTGTTCCTTTGTATTGATTTGCTATTTATTTTGCACTTTGAAAAAGCCAATTAATTGCTTACGATGAGCCTCTTTCATCACTGACTGTTTGAGTTCCTGTCTAACTAGAGGAGATAAAGCCTGTGTGACATCCATAGTAAACTGTTTTCAAGGCAACTCTGTAGATTACTAAATAAACTTGTTTTTTTGAAGTTCTACTTTATTGGAGTGAATGATAATTTGATTAAATGAATGTGTTTGTGTGTGAGTTCAGGATGGATGTGTTCTAAAAATAGGAAGATTAAGAAGGAATTTCAAAGAAAGAAATAAAGCTAAAATAAGATTATTCAAGTACTCTTTAATATGACATATATCAGGTTAAAGGAACATAAACAACAGCATATTTGATATAAAACAACAGTGTCGTGTGTGTGTAAATAAAAGGAAAGTAGAAAAGCAACATTCAAATAAAGCAACAGGTAAAGCAATCAATCTTTTCTAGTTGATAAATCAGTCAGTGTAGATGTGCAGCCGCCCACTTGCATTGCCTCCAAGCAGAGCGTTCCTGCTAGGGTGGAATGCTGTGACGGAGCACACAGTGGTCAGGTGCTCCGTGTTTTGTAAAGTGTGGAGCAGGCGACCGCTCTCGTGATATACCTTAATTTTACGAGGCCTGTCCATGGTGCCAATCACAAAGCATTCTTGGTGCTTGGGGTCCCATACGGCACACAGCCTGGACAACCACCGGCCTGTTTGCATGTTGTGCCTGCACAAAAATCAGTTTATCAGTCTGTAGTTAAAGACATCTTTAATTTAAAAAAAGGTAAAACTTTAATTTGCTAGTTCAGTTGAGACTAGAAGGGAATTTGCAATAGCAAGCCAACTAGCAGTAATTACAGTATTTGTAAACTGCTGCTATAACTTTAATTTGATGGTCTCCTAAAAGACATTTTAATGACTAAAAACTGTAATTTGAATGCATGTTGACATTGACTTTAACTCGAAGTCTAATTGTACTTTAGTGTAAAAAAGGTATATGAGATACGAGTTGCAAAGATATGTATATTAAACATTTTATCTAAATGTGACTAATTAGATAGGAAATATAAGAAAATACTAATAACTAAACCTAAATTTTAAATCTAAATTTATAAACTTATTTATTCAAATAATTCAAATTTGTTCAACTAGATCATTTTGTATTATTCTACATCTGTGTAGTTTGAGTAAAATATAAATGCATTTAGAGAATATCACTGCACACTGTTTATTTAGTTACTACAGTTAATAAATAAAACAATACAGTTAATAAAAAGACAAGATCTAGAACTTCTGTGGCCACTGTGAGTGTGGGGCCTCAGTGCATTATCTGTTGCTTAGCCTATGTTTACAGCCCTGCTGATTCTGTCTTTTAATTTAAAAACAGCTCTATAATGCTTTTGAAAGAAGTCTCTTGCTCACTAATGCACTAAAAATATAATAAACACAGGTATATTTTGAAATATCTAAATATTTTTAAAACTTTAAACAATTTGTAAATATTATTTAAATACTTATTCCAGCTATTGCAGTTCATCATCAAAGATTTTAGCCATCTTTAATGTCACATGATCCTTCGCAAATTGAATTCGCAAATTTGGTGCTCGATACAATGTGCAAACTATAACAAATTTGTCAGATTATTTGAGATGAATAAAACATTCCAAACCATGTTGTGTAAATAATGCAAGTATACAAATTTGTCACAACACTCTCACTTTTCATTAATTTATTGAATCCTTTCTGATTTAAACTAAATTTCGTAGTGTATGACTCAAAACAGAGAGTTTTACTTTATTGCATCTTTTGAGATTATACATTTTGGTTTGAACTCAGTCTCCTAGTGTATGTCTTACAACAAAGCGTTTACATTCTAACAACTATACTTACCTAATTGATGTTAGTGCAGGAATGCTGCCAGCTATTTGCGAACTGTCAAATACCCTAAAATAAATTAGCAAAAGGAAAATAACATTTGTTATTCAAATCATAAATCATGTTCAGCATTCATTAACTAACTCTAGAGATGATAATTGGAGGACAGATGACACTTATAATTCTTGAAAGACAATATGATGGTAAGGTACATATAGTTCATACGGTTTAAAAAACAAAAACATAAATCCAACCTATTCAAATACATCAAATAAAATCTTAACCATGACACTCTGGCACCCTCTACTGTTAGACATGGAAGACAGAATGAAGGAACATCTAAAATTTAATGTGAGCGCTTCTAGCAGTGACATTTGTGATCTCTGGGCACCTGATGCAGTCGTCCATGCAGGTGGTCAGGACTCTGCTGCCGGTGAGTGGGGAGAAAAAGGCACTGGAGGTACTGCGACTGTGACCATACAGTTCACACACTGCTGGACTGTTTCTTTTTTTCAGATGGCGCAAATCATAGATGTTCACAAAACTAAAAGAAAAGACAAATATAACAAAAAAACACAAAAACAATTAGCTTCAGTCAGCATAGCATGCAAACTTTTAATCAGTAACTTGCTGATTTACTTGGTGAAAATGAACCGAAATATTAGTACAGGTAAGAAGTATTACCTGCTCTCTGCTACTAAAAAGTAATGCTGCTGCACAGGGTGGACATGAACACCGCGCAGAGGAGCTGCAGTCATGGCATGAAGAGATTCACACGAGTTCCTGCAATTATATTTCATTCATAAGTTATAATGTAAAGAAAATTATTTGCCCCCTTGTGAAATTGCCTTGTAAAACTTTTTCAAATATTTCCCAAGAGCTGTTTAACAGAACAAGGAACATTTTCAGATTTTGTTTGGTTAAGCTGGAAAGCAACTTTCTACATTTCTAAAATGAATTTTTAGGTTTTATAATACAAAATCATTAGCCCCCTTAAAAAAATCATTATTTTTTCAATGAGCCGCAACAAACAAACCTAACTTGCTTAATTAGCATAAATAACCTAGTTAGGCCTTTTAATATAACTTTAAGCTGAATGCTAGCATCTAGCTAAATAAATTGTAAAATAATATCAGGGTATATGCAGGAATCCTAAAGGTAATTTAATACCTTTTCAGGACTTTTTAAAGACCTTCTCTGAATATTTTAAGAGCTCATCGCCACTTCAATTTCTAGTCAGTATAAAACCTTTAACTTAATAAACAGTGGTTAATAAACAGTTGTAGTTAAATTAATGATGCACAACCATGCAACAGAACTAAGACCAGCTTTGAAGAAACAAAGTTTGAAAGAATAAATTACGTGGCTGTTTTCCGCGGCAGGCTTTAGCCACTGTTTAAACTCTTCTTTCTCCAACCAGGAGTACGCAAACTTACATTTTCCCATTTCGCCATCTGTTTCGCTCTATGGTTTCTCTACATGTGGAGAGCATCACATCACCTTCCCATGTTTGTCGCAAATTACGTGACATCACCCAGACGGAGGAGCTTGGCCAGACGCGCCTAACCTGAACCAATCATGTGGATCGAGCATGCCGTTGTTAATATTAGAAGGAAATTAAATATATTTATGCTTTTTTGCAGTCAAACACTTTGGAGGATGCTTGAACTAAAATTAAGACCTCTTAAAAACGCAATTAAGACTTTTCAATATCTTTTAAGGGCTTTAATTTTCTCATAACTGATTTATCAACTTTAAATACTGTTTAAGACCCCGCAGACACCCTGAATTGCACTGTCATCATGACAATAGAAATAGGGTATATGCACAGCTAGTGTTCTTTCCCATACCAATAAACTTCCGGTGAACAGTTAATGTGACTTTTTTTCAATTTTATACGGTTCCTTTTACAGCATCGATGTTGTAATGTAATTAAAATACAATCAGTGAAATAGACTTCAGCATTCATTTAGTTGTTCAAGTGTAAAACGATATGAAAAGCCATTTAGCGAGCACAGAAACACCAAAAACACTGAAGTAAAATAAATGTCCATATTTTAAAGACATGGCGTGGGAAAATTTTATTTAAAGTAGTGTTTCTTGTACAATCTGAGACCCACTTTATATTGTATATCAATCAGGCAGTGATGGTTGATTTTTAAAGAAAACAGACCTCAAACACGCAACTTTTCACTTGACCCAGGTTATTCTGCATATACCCTATTACCTGTTAAAAAATTAGTCATTAAAACTATTACATTTTTTTTTTTAATCTCTCTATTGGGAAATATTTGAAAAGTAATACAACTTTCACAAGAGGGCTAATAATTCTCTAAATATCTATAAACATGTTATATATGTTGGTCCTACCCAGTTCTACGGTCAACAATGGCAACGTCTCCATTCCATTCACCAAACAGCAAGGTGGAGCAGTCACTTGACAAAAAGTCAAAGCTTTTCAAGCTAGAGGATGAGCGATACACCTGCAAAATATAGATGTTATATTGTGAAGCACTAAAGACTGCACACTGTAAGGTTTTGATGCCTATTTGCTAGATGCACATTCATTCATTAGACCTAAACAAAGCTAAACACTAAGCATTTTAAAAAAAAAAACCAGGTTACTTCTGTAAATAGTTTTTGTTTTAATGGAAGATCGTGTAAAGGGATGTGTTGCTTTAGTTTTCTTTCCCTGATTAAAAATTTTAATTAGGAGAATTTGCTGTAAAAATGTCTAACAGCTGTTGTGTATTGTGTCTCTTTGCAATAAAAAACTTTAAATATAAAAAGTAAAAAATTCTGAGAAAAGTTTATGGGTGATTGAGTGTCAGCCAGACTGGGTAGCTTTACTTAGACATAGGAAAATCAAGGCCAGTTTAAAATGATTAAAACCTACAACACAATATTTCAGTGAATTTAAAACTTAAGGCCTAAATTTTAGCTTTTGAAATTGAAGACATTTTAAGACATCACAAACACCCTGTTTATGCAGCAAATGCCCCGCCAGCTGCAACCCACAACCCATACACTTTTATTTAGACACTCATACACTATGGCCAACTTAGTTTTTTCATTTCACTTGTACCGCATGTCTTTGGACTGTGAGGCAAACCGGAGCACCTAGAGGAAACCCACACAAACACCGGAACAACATACAAACTCAACAACACTCGAACCAGCGACCCTCTTGCTGTGAGGCGACAGTGCTGACCACTGAGCTACCATTTCGCCTGCTAGATGCAGGTGCATATATACAGGTTCTAACAACGTTAGTAACATTTAATCTTCATCATAGCTGAATA